TTCAAGTTTTGTGCAAAAACGCATGATCGCACCGGCTCGCCTGGTGCGTTCCAGCCTACGTTAATATCATCCCCGCGAACGCCAGGATGCCGCATTTGGACTCTTTAAAAAATATGCAAATTTTTTGGCAGGAGAACGATCTTGGGAACCAGAAAGGTATTTTTTTACACCCTTAACTTATTATAATATATTTTTTTACACCCTTAACTTATTATATTTTTTTACACCCTTAATTTATCATAATATTTTTTTTACATCCTTAACTTATTATATTTCTTTACACCCTTAATTTATTATAACATCTTTTTCCTATTCTTCTTTGTTCCCTTTGTCTCCTAATATTTCCCTTTTTTAACCTTTAAAAGGGGTTGAAACTTTGTAGAGATATTCCCCGCACATGTTAAAAATTTCAAATCGGGTATGCGTGGTTCTTACGTACGAGCATGTGAAAGTTTTGACGGGAAAATTACTAACTCGGGAACTAGAAAAGATAGAAAGCTGAAATTTTAGGGGAATGCTACCTGTCAAGTACAACTTGAGTATTTCAAATTCAGCCTTGAGATATGCGTGGTTCTTATGTACAAGCACTTAAAAAGTTTTGGCTGAAAAATTTCTGACTGAACAACTAGGTTATTTTCAAAGAATTACTGTTAATTGGAAATTGTACATTTACTTTACGCAAAATTTATGGTAATTTATGCGAATGATCGCGAAAGGTAGGTGTGAAGCAACAACTATTCATGCAGTTTATGACCTGAGTGCTTCAAGTCCGATCGCACGGGCCCGCCCGGTTCGTTCCAGCCTGGGTTAAGTCATTGACAACGCGCATCAGGCGGGTCCGTACGATCATGCGTTTTTGCAGTATTTCGTACTGTATTAAGATCCTCGGAAACCTAATAGCTAGAATTTGTGACATGCTGATCCTCGAAATTCGGGAAGTTAATTATGCAACTAAGCGATACTTGGACAAGGAACAGTCCGTTAAAATTTCAACTTTCTAACTTTTTTGGTTCTCTTGTTAGCAGTTTTCTTGCCAAAACTTTCACGGGGCCGTACGTGAGCTAGGCCCATAAATGAGAGCTGAATTTGAAACTTTCAAGTTGTACGTGGGCTGGGAAAATCTCTTCAAAATTGCAGCCTCCCAGCTTTCCTGGTTCCCGAGTTAGCCATTTTCTCACCAAAAATTTTCACGAGGCCGCACGTGAGAACCAAGCAGGCCTGGGGGCTGAATTTGTTAATTTTAAGTTGTGCATGGGCTAAGAATCCCCTTAAAATTTCAGCTTCCAGGCTTTCCTGATTCCCAAGTTAGCGATTTTCACTCCAGGAGCCCTCACGGGTACGGCGTACATGAGAACTACGCACACCTAGGGGCTGAATTTGAAATCTTCGAGTTCTTTTGGACGGAGAACATCATCTTAAAATTTCAGCTTTCTAGCTTTTCTGTTTCCCGAGTTAGCTATTTTCCCACCAAAACTTTCACTCTCTCGTACGCGGGGCCCAGACTTGCATGAGGCTTGATACCGCGATGCTGGATTGGCACTTGCCCGGGGAATCCAACGGCAAAATTGACGCCAGAGCTTGCTTTGTTCCCGGGCTGAAATTCCCGAACACACACCGGGGTCGTAACAGTATGCGTTTTTGCGTTTGCAAGTAAGCAAAAACACATAATTAAAGGCTACTAACTATACATATGGTGGCCTATATATAACTAATGGTCTTCGATTTGAAAATGTTATATACATAGTTATATTTAGAGTTATATGTTTTGATTTCATTTAGATGATTGAAGCAGCGCAGTATCATATCACAACGGAAAGCGTCATGCTGAGCAGGGATGAAGAGCCAACTATCTCTGGAATGACTGGAAAGCAGTTCCAAAGGCGATTGATGAATCTATTAACAACGGATCCGGCCGAAACAGGCGGCTTTCCAGAAGCTCCTTTAGCTTATGATGCTGTCTGGTGAATTTTTTGTTTGATTGGGAAGTTTTTTCCAAAATTGAGTGAAGCATTTTTTGCATCATTTTTGTTTTAAATGTTACAAAAAAAGAAAAATATACAAATTGATTTTCATAACATTTAGATGCAAAAATACATTGCGTCGTTTCACGTGGTGCGAGCGCGCTTGCGTGTGTGTGTGTGTGTATGTGTGTGTATTTATGTTTACGTGTGTGCCTGATCACATCTGTCAGGACCGGATCTAAAAAAAACTGGAAAGTAAATTTTTATGAACAATGTGCCTGTTCACATACTAGCTCGTGAAATTAAAAACAGCTCTCATGTCATTTCTGGCCAATAATGTTTTTTTATAGGGCTGTTGCGCTAGCATTTAACTGCACGCTTTCTAAGCTTCGATCTGGAAGAAAACTTGAAGATTTCACTTATAATAATACTGCTATTGCAAAAAAATTATTTACGTGCGTCAAAGATACACAGTTCCGAGGAGTATCGGTATGCTTTCTCTCTTGATTGAACTTAGGTTGTAATTCAGCTTCACTAGGATTATTCGGCTTTCTTTGTGAGGCTTGCAATATTAATGAGTTAAACGTATTTATATCTTGCGATGCTGTTCCAAGTCAGCTTCAAATACACCGGATGCAACCGAGTGGGTGCTCCTCATTAACACCACTAACGTTGAATTCCTGCGCCGGCTTCCCTAGTGATTCTTAAATTAGTACTGTATCATCTTGACTGCGATTTCTGATCGGGATATTTCAGCATTTAAAAATTACTTGAAATCAGGAAAAAACGAACATTTATCACTAAAAATTGTTATTACTACATTATTTCACTCTTTCTTTTATGAGTCCTTTTCGAGTCAGGTAAGGAAGGAAAAAGCGTTTTTTGGCATGTAGTTCCGAAACAGTCCCTAAAAATGATTTTGTTTCTTCCCTCCCACTGTTGCAAAAATTTTACATTTCAGTGTCCTTCCTCAAGAAATCGTTTCTGTGAATTGGTTACATAAATTTATTTGTCTTCAGTCACCTTTGGAATAGTAGTATAGTCCCAAACGGGACTCTTTTCATGTTCCTTTAAAAGCTAAAAATTTGCTATTCTGATGCTCTGTATAATTTCTTCCTGAATCTTTCAGGGTCAGGTAATGTTTAACGATCTTGGTGACCGTATTGCACGAACACAAATCGAGCAGCTACAAGGTAATTATTAACAGTTCAAACCCAGTAGCTAGAGAATGTGACGTACTACCCATCGAAGTTCAGGAATTTAATTGTGCAACTATTTGGTTTGTCAGTTGTAGGTATCGGTTTCAGCGGTCCGACAAACGGAAAGGCTGTGGTGCGCGAAAGAGATCCCACGATACAAACTGAATTTGAAATATTTTAGTCGCACGTTCCCTTAAAATTCTAGCGTTCCAGCTTTTCTCTTTTTCGAGTTAGCAACTTTCCTGCCAAAAATCTTTACTTGCTCTTACCTGAGTCCCGAGCGATTCTAAGGAGCTGAATTTGAAATTTTTTGGCCGTAAATGAATAGCAAAAGTTGCTCTAAAGTTTCAGCTTTCTGACTTCTTGTTCCGAGTTAATAATTTTCTCGTCGAAACTTTCACGCGCCCGTATATGAGACATAGGATTGCGCGACAATTGATATCACTTTCCTGGGGCGTTAGGACAGCAAACAAGTTGGCAAAATTTCAGCATCAAAGCTTGCGTGGTTGCTAAGTAAAAGTATCTGGACAGGCGAACACACACACATACATACATACACAGAGTTATCGCAAAATGCTTTTTTCTGCCCGTTGCAGCGATTAGTGCTGCACAACAAAAACGCATAAAAATCCAAAAGATGGTACACGGACGTGATAATACTGTATTGGAGTAGGAGAGAACAGGAAGGAGGGTGCAAGCACTGCAGCCTCCAGCGCTTGAGCTTACAAGTCAGAATAAAGTGAACTTTAAAAGTTAACTTCAGCAGCACGTAAAATGGTTGTTTTTATTATTCTGAAGCTGAACTATGAGGACATCGGAAAAAGCATTGGGAAAACCGTTTTTACTATTATCGAGCTGTATTTAAAAAAGTATAAAAATGCGAAGCTTGCAAGCTTTACACACGCATGTTCAGTCATCGCATGTACCTTCACTTATTAAATCGGGCGTACCTGATGACTGTCACGTAAATCCGGCCTTCGCTTTCCCCACAGAAAGGCCTTTCACCGTGAATACAGCTTCTTTCCGGACTAAAGAGAACAGGAAGATAGGCGGGAAATATTGGTAGCCTATGTGAACACGGCGATCTGGCGATTTCTAATTCGAGTAAAGGCGTGCTCAAAAGTGCTTTAAAAATTAAAAATATAATTTAGAATCAAAAAGGTTAGAGACTGGCCCGCAGAAATTGAAAAAATATGCATTTTATAGATGGGAAATATCAAATATTGGGCTTTTATGATACAACAACTCTTCGGCTAGATTGGTACGGCAAGGAGAAATTTGCAACGGTAAATGGTTTACCGCCCCCTGACTCGACCCTCATTATGGAGTCACTGCTTGCCGTTGATTTAGAGGTTTTTTGTTCATTTGTTGGAGTATTTTTTACTTTTCCTTTTGTATATCATTTTAGCTAGTATACCGTATTGGTTTTTAATTCACACTTTTCCGAAGAAATGTTTACTAAAAACTTATTTTTGTAAATGCGTGTCTAAGATCAAATCCTAGATGTAGACTGAGGAAGTCTCGAAAGCAGGGATACGTTCTTTTTTTCGTTGAATAACCTTGTGAAGGAGCTGTTGAAATCCTTGGACCGCCTTCTAGTTTTATAGTTCTAGCGTATATAAAAGAGGTTCCACAAAAACCGGCTTTGTTAAAATTCTTGTCACGATCTATTTATTACTTTTGTCCGTTTGGTAGCTGAATCAATAAAAACCTGGAGCTGGAGTCACACGTATTAAAGACGGCATTCTGCCATTTCTGCACCAAAATTTGAAATCTGTAGTTTGCTTCTCCTAAATTTTTAATATATTTGGGAATATGGTCACAGGTCAAAAAAATTAGTTTTGTCTGGAAGTTGATTTCAGGCCATACAGCACAATTTAGTCAGATGGAACAAAATTTTAAAATCTTGAGTTTTTGGCTTGCCTTGTTTTAAACCTGCAAAACTACATTGGATCTGAAGCCACAGATCAGAATACGGGAAGGCTTGAAACCTTATTCCCGACTATTTGCCTTAAATTATCTAGAGAAGCGATCTCAAATTGAAGCTTATAAATATCTCATCTAAGTAACATTAACGCCTTAGCATAAGGCAACAGGTCAGAGTACTTCAAGAATTATGACCTGATTTCGTCTTGAATTATTTGAAAATTTTATCTCTATAATGTTCAAATTTGCATATCTGCAACTCGAAAGATAATGCGGCTGGCTGTTTTCGTAATCTGGCCAGTGAATCTTGTCGAATTTAAGGTGTATTTAAACGAATTAAGCCGAATTGCAATAGCCGCCTTTACTTCATCAACACTGCCAGTTCGTGAATGCTGTTTAGCTTCCGCAGGTCTTCCCCTCGCTGTCTGAGACTAAGCCGTTTCGAGAAAAGCGGAGAACGCTAATGTTCTGATACTTTGCGAGATGAAGATTTATTGGTGGTAACTAATTCAACCACAGTAGCTTGTACCGGGCAAAAGTCAACAAGGTTCCCGCAGGTGAATCTGCGGAAAAATTATTAACGAAATTTGATCAAAATTTCCCAAACAATATCAACACATTGAATGCTTTGTAAAAGCTATTTTTGTTCATCTGAACATGCAACTGAGAGGGTTTACGCTCTCAAAATCTCAGCTTTCTGGCTTTATAGTTCTGGAGTTGAGTTATCCGGACAGGTAGATATAAATATATGAGTGCAATTATTTCTTTTTACGTTTTGTATAAAAAGCATAAAATCCTTTATGGTGAATCATGTGTTGTTTTTACGTGTTTGTGCTGATATGTCTGCCTGTCTATTACAATGATTCGGCTTAGGAACTATGAAAGCTGGGAATTCGAGTTTTGAAGCATAACTTTCACCCTTGTACGCATTCGAAAGTGAGGAATTGGTCTCAGCTTTTTGTCATTTTCTAGCTCAAGCAGCATTTGATTTGTTTTTAACTTTTTCTGCTCTAATTTAGCTGCTTTTGAATTAGCGAAGAATGAAAACGTAGTGCTGCTGTTTGGTTTCAGTTATATTATGCAATTGCGGTGCTGGCTGCAATAGGAATTTTTGTCGCTTGCACAATATTTATATTTAATTTCAAAAATTCTGAAAAAACGTAAGTTCTATTGAATTTTTTTTCATTTCATTTCTTGCCTGGAAATTTCAAATTTTTTTACTTTACCCATTCTGAACTTGAAAAAAAATTTCGTTTTGAACCCAAACTCAAAATCTGCTGCTTGTAATTTCATTACTTGCGCTCATGGTATGAGTGCATCGAAGCACTGGATCACTACACTGATTTTCCGGGCAACATTGGTTGTCTTAAAAAAATAATTAGCTGGACTGTGTGGCAACTGTTAGGAAATAATTATCTGGACTGTTTGGAAATTATCTGTATTATCTGGAGTTCCAATAATTCTGTTTCTGGAAACTTCTCAGACTGTTAAATATGAGTTCCGTCTTTAAAAATTTTTCAAAATCGATCATCTTTTCACTTTGTTCTTCCTGAAAAATTTCAGCTTCCTTCAACTAAAATTGTTTCATTTTTCGTACTCGTTCTTTTTCCCCAGGAAACGTGTGGTGTAGACATTGTACGCTTACGATTTTTTTGAAGGCTTGTCATCTAGATTGTTGTTATTGTTGCTATTATCATTATTGTTTCTACCATTTATTTATTATTCATTGCTATCAATAATAATGCCCTAGAAATAATCATTGTTATCACCATTTTTATATGCTTGTAGCTAAAAATGAAAACTTCTGGGATATCCATTAAAATATCACCGATTGCTGCAGAAAAACATTTAGTTTTCGGCACAGAATCATGACAAGAGATTACCTTCATTTTAGTAATCTGCAGGATAATAATGCAGTCACAGCCCCAGTGCAATAATATACTGTTAGTTGGATGCATCCTATGTTCACTAAGCTTATTGTTGCTTGGACTACCGGCACGAGGAATCACCATCCCGAAGCATTCATTCACACTGCTCTGTCATGTTTGTCTTTTTTTTGCGAACCACTTTTAAACATTAAATTGAATTTCAGGTTAATCGCGTCTTACTTAGAAGATTCAGAAGCAAGCTTGTAAACTAGTTAGCATTTAGTTGAGCTTGGGGGAATCTGAACTTCTGTGTTCATAACGAGAATTTCTCTACCGCTTCTGGGAGGCATCCCAGACCACAGATTTTTCAGGGATACGTTTAATAATTGTTGAGCACCCTTATCCGATTTTTTACCAATTACAAAGTTGGTGAGAAAAGCATTTCCATTGAGTTTTTCCTTAAAAAAGCTTCCTTTACTTTAATTTCTGAAAAGTGGTCCCATCAAAAAAACTCAGCTTTGCCAGTGCTACAAAATATTGATCTCAGCTATTTCAGTGCTGCAAAATATTGATGTTACAAGGCTATTGATGTTAGAATAGGTTTGAAAAAGTTATTAGTTTTTATACGTTTTGTGTTGTGTAACAGCTATACGAAATGTCTTTTGTCACGTCCTGTCAGTATTTGTTTATGTTTGTGTTCGAGTGCGTTTTGTTCCCGGTTTTCAAATCGTGAACCGCAAAAGCTAGGAAGCTGAGATTGTAGGATTAGGTCTTTACGCAAAATTCGACTCGGTGACTTAAAATTCAGCCTTCGCGTGCGGATTAGTCTTACGTAAGGTCACATGAAAGTTTCTACGCCGAAATTACTAACTCGAGAATCACAGAAACTAGGCAGCTAAAATTTTAGGATAATCCAATAACATGTCTGATCCCAAAAATTTAAATTCAGGTCCCACTTATGCCTAAGGCTCAGGTGCAGACAAGTGGGTGTTTTGGCGCAAAATTTTCTGCCTCAGAAAGTGGCAATATGGAAAATTGAAAATTTGGTATGATACTTCTAAATGTATAGCTTTTTGCATCTTCAAATTCGGCTTTCGTGTATGATCATGTGTCACATATGGACAAGTGAAATTTTACACGAGGAATTTTTAGTTCGGGAACCAGACAAAACAGAAGGCTAAAATGGTTAGAGAATGTTTTCTGTTCATGTACTAACGTACAAATTCAAATCTAGCTCTTATGAACACTTGCGTTCCACGAATGGCCACGCGGGATTTCATATTTTTTGTGCATGCTAAACTGTAAAGCAATAAATATTCCTAACAGCAAGTACCCGCTGGTCAGAGATGCGCAAAACGCACGATCGCACCGACCACCCTGATGCGGTTTGCTATTTATTTTGGAGCGTACCATTTCAGAATATTTTAAATTCAAGACAAATCTTTTCCCCCATCTTATATTCGTCTTAACTGTATAGCTTGGTGCAGGGCTTTTTCAGCCAAAATGCTAATTTCAGTCCCAAATATCGGTTTTGATGGTTGGTTTTACCTTTGCTTATGGGTCAATGTTTGCCAAGGTATGGGTGGTGCATCGGCTGGGAGCAGCCGAGGATCAGCAGCTTATTTCTCTACCAGCCACTAGCCAGGTCAACATTTTTTACGCGTTTTCATGGGTTTTTGCTGTGCAGCGCTATAGCGTTGCTACAGCGGGCAAAAACGCATATTGCGACGACCTCTGGTGTGCGTGTGTGTGTGTGTGTATGTTCGCGTGTGTGTGTGTGTGTGTGTCTCCGGGTATTTCAACTCAGCAGCCACGCAAGCTCCTGCCCCAAAATTTTGACAACGGCTTCTCTGGCCAAGCGCCGCTCCAGGACAGCAGTATCAACTCTCACGCACGTCTAGGCCCGGCATACGACCGTGTGAAAGTTTTGGCGGGGAAATTACTAGCTCGGGAACCAGAAAAGCTGGAGAGCTGGAACTCCAAGCAGGTGTTTCTCGTCCACGTGAAACTCAAAGATTTCAAATTTAGCCCCCAGCTACACGTGGTACTCACGTATGTAAAATTTTTGGCGGATAAATCTCTAATTTAGGACCAGGAAAGCTGAGGAACTGAAATTTTAACAGAATGTTCTTTTTCCAAGTACCACATGACAGTTGTACAATTAACTTCCTGGAGCTCGAGGACGAGCATGTCACAAATTCTAGCTGCTGTGATTCCAGACGGTCTTACTATAGCATGAAATACTGCAAAAACGCATTATCGCATGGGCCCGCCTGGTGCGCGCCGCCAATGATTCATACTTATGCACATGCAAAAACATATCACCAAGAGGTTGTCTATTCGTGTTCGTATGTATGTGTGTGTCTGTGTGTGGCATATTTTTAACATCGTGTTTTAATATTAACATTAACGTGCGTAGAGATTCCATGTACGGGCAATTATAAACATGTGAATTTATTGACAAGAAAGTGACTTTGAGAACGAAATAGGACAGGAGACTGAAATTTTAGAGGGGCTACATGTCTTTTTGTGAGCTCATAATTCTAAATCAGCTTTAAATTAGTTTCGAGTACGAGCAAGCAAACGTTTAGTTCGGGACACTGTTGGCACCCAATTAACTTGGTAAGCAGACTAAGCAGGGAGCAGTTTTTTGAGGATGTTTACTGTTTATATGCAAACTACCAAGTATAAAATGAAATTCTATCAACACATATGTCCTGTGTACATGTGCATCAAATATTCAAATCGAAACGCCACAAATAAACCCCAAATAATAATGGCGACCTCACTGCAGGATGGACCCATGCAAAACGATGACGCATCGGCAAGTTTTGGTGCGTCATTACATAGGCTTAAATATTTTTTCGTCAAAGTAAGTCCCTGGCAGTGATGTTCGTATGCGAGTGAGCGATGTGTGGTTTGACTCGAAGAAGATTAACTTTTCTTGAGTCATCAACAACAGTGAATTCTTCAAGCTGAGCAATTAATCAGATTTCCAAATTTAAAAGCCCTTTCCCTTATTTTATTTTTCTCCATATAGTTTGGATATATCTTTGCCAATCAGTATTTGTTCTTTACCAGTGTTGGTCCGGCCTTCTGAGGATCACTTGAGAAGTAAATGGATGCAGGTTGTAATGCTCGATATCGTAGATATTCCAGCAATAAATCACTGGTGATGCACACTGTGCGGGCCCATGCGATCATGCGTTTTTACAATATTTCGTGTTGTAGTGGGATCGCTTGGAATCCCAGTAGCCAGAATTTGTGATATACTGGTTCAGAAAGTTAATTGTACTACTATGTGGTAAACCTTGGGCAGGGGACATCACGTTTAAATTTCAGCCTCCCAGCTCTTCTGGTTCCTAAGTTGACTATTTTCCTGCCAAAAAGCTTCACGGGCCGCACATGAGAATTAAGCACACCTGCGGGCGGAACCTGAAAGCTCTAAATTGTACTTGGGCTGGGAACATTCCCTTAAAATTTCAGCCTTTCAGCTTTTCTGGTTCCCGAGTTAGCGATTTTCCCTGTCAAAACTTTCAGGTGCTCGTACTCTGGGCCCAGAAGTGTGTGAGAGTAAGTATCCCGGTTCTGGAGTGGCGCTTGTCTGGAGAAACCACTTGCAAAACTTCAGCGCGAAAACTTGCCTGATTGCCGAGTTAAAATACATGGACAGAGGCACACCGACTCCGTCACAATATGCGTCTTTGATTTGCATATATGAAAAACCGCATAATTGGCATCAAATAGAGGAACGGTTTAATTGACTTTCAGTGATGATTTTGAATCTCCGATAAGTACATAAAAGTAATTGCACAAGGTGCCTGTGCATTATGCTGCGCTGATTATTCAAAATTTATTGAATTTAAAGTTCAGAATGGCAAAATTATCCACTCTTTCTTTCGTGAACGAAAAACGCCTTACAATGATGCTGCCTCTGTCTATATGTACGTATATTTCTAGATAATTAAGTTTCGATGTTGGAGAAGTTAAAAGGCAGAACTTTTGCAAATTCAGCTGGGAAAATCGTAACAGGCGCGAAGTCTACTTTTAAACTTTTCTGCTTCCCAAATCATAGTTGTGGTTTCAAGAAAAATCTTTAGAAGAATTTCAAGTCACTGCACATGTTGTCAATTCGCGGATGACACGGACTCCACAGTACGTGCGGGTATCTTACTAAAACTTTCTTTTTCAGCCTATAGCAGCGTGTAAATTTTATCTCGTTGTCAGTGCATTTTTCATTGTCGACGCAGTTATTGTTGTTTGCTGGTTTACATTTGATCCTATCCAGAGAGTCGAACAGCGTTTCCCGCTACAAGTAGCTTTATTAACGGCTTGACAGTGGATTCATAAGATAACAAATGAATAACGGGAAAATCTGTTTTTGTCCACAAGATCTTTATCTCAAAAAATTTTAATTCAAGAAGTTTAAGAAATCTATTTTTCGGGACTTTCTCTCGCTGCAAAAAAACAGTGACGTAATCAGGTTGTAGGGAGGAAAAAGCAAATGGCCAAGTTGAACTAGCTGAAATGTACAATTAGTAATTGTTATAAACGATCTTTTGGCAAATGTCCATTTAACTGACAGAAAAAAATATAGCATTTCAAATATTTCCTATGTGATTTTTACTTCCGTTTTTCAGGAACCGCCGCTGGGCACAGAGGATGACATCATGCTTCTGCCGGTCCTTGAAATATGTCAAAGTAAGCGGCACGATATGTGGACAGGCAAGAATTTTCTAGAACAAACAATTTGCCGATAACAATTCGCTACACCAGATTCATCCTTACTATTGCTGCGGAGCTCCCAATGTTACTGAGATATCGTATTAAGTCAAGCACAACTATCTAGGTGCTACTGTCCTGAGTTTCTTGCGATTAGATTGTAATTTTAATTTTAGATGATGTGTATTTATTTAAAAAGTAAGGTTTAAAAAGGAATAAAAGGAGGGTGAATAAGATAAATCGGATTAAAAAACCTGA